AATCAAGGGCAGGTATCTGGATTGCAGTGTAGATTTAATCCCCAGTCCGGGCGCATGCGGGAGGCAACCAATCAATGTGTCTCTCTTACATTGATGGTTCCCTCTCTCGCTTTTCCTCTCTCTCCCTTCTCAGCCGTGGGCAAACTACGGCGGGCCGGATCTGGCCCGTTTGAAATGAATAGAACTAAAAAAAAAAAAAAGACCGTACCCTTTTATGTAATGATGTTTACTTTGAATTTATATTAGTTCACACAAACACTCCGTCCATGCTTTTGTTCCGGCCCCCCCGTCCAGTTTAAGAACCCATTGTGGCCCTCAAGTCAAAAAGTTTGCCCACCCCTGCTCACTTCCTGTCCCTCTCTCTCCCTCTCCCTTCCTCCCTTCTACTCTCTCTAAAAATCAATGGAAAAAACTATCCTCAGGTGAGGATTAACAACAACAAATCTTATGTAATTTTTTATTATAATAATGATTTTTTTATTATGAAAAATTAACAGCATTCAGATTAACCAGAAAAGATCATAGAAACCCACCCATAATGCCACCACCCAGAGATAACACTGGGCATGCTTATTTTTAGTCTCATAAACTCTTCAGATGATGACTTCTTCTATAGCAGGCTCTGCAGCCCTTCAGCTGATCCATCCTAATGGCCAGTAGGGAAACTGCTTCCTAATGAACAACACGTTAGTCTTGGAAATGCTTGCTTTTTGATTCAATATTCCATCTTCTCAAAGCTGGAGTCCCTGTCAAGCGGTCCCTTTTGAATGGTGAGACTCCAGCTGAGTGCTGTGTCTGCGAGGTTTCTGCCCCTTCCCCTTCTCTCCAGGGTGACAGTGGGTGTGTGAAGCAAGTCATGTGCCCTCCAGATTATTGAAGGTTTGTCGAAGTGATAACCTTTTGGATATACATGCATACTTCAGAGATTTTGCAGGTCTGGTGTCAGACCCCTGCAATAGAGCAAGTATCGCAATAAAGCAAGTATCAAACTAAAGTGAGTCATGACATTTTTGCTGGTAGCGAGTCATGCCTTCAGTTTATTAAAAAACAAAACACCTACGAAGCACAATGAAGCAACGTGCAGGTAAAATGAGAAATGCCTGTACTGAGTTAAATAAGGTAAGTTAGCCCTCATTCGTCTTTCTTTTTGCCTTTTTAATGAGGCTATTAGAAAGTGCACACTTACACAGGCAGCTCCTGTGTATTTCTGTTGGGAGTGTCGTTTAGGCCCTGGAGGTTCTGAGTGGTGGAGCATGACCAGCACTGGGAGTATTTTTACTCCAGAGGAGCTGAGTTGGGGAGCCTCCCTGTTGGGTGCCCCGGGGTGGGGTAGCAGGAACTGGAACAGTGGCCAGGAGCCCCAGGGCAGGGCCTCTCTGGTGCCATTTCCTTCTTGTGGCTTTGGGCTTCTCTGGCAGCTGAAACCAAAGAAGTCTGGAAGACTTTTGCCCTGGTCAGCAAATGTGGACAAGTCAGGACTTTTTAGTGGGAAATAACAGAAAATACATGCAAAGTGACTTATGCAAAATAGGAATCCCAACTCTCCTGACTGGACAGCCTGGGGCAGCCTTGACTTCAGGCAGAGGGATCCAGAAGCCCCTTGCTCTGTGCCCTCACTGGTCTTTATGGTCAGCAGGCCCAGTGAGAGAGCGCACTACCATGAAGACTCAGTTCGTACCCCTGAGTCAGGCTCGCTGGCTGGGGAGGGGTCTGCTGGCCTATGTAGCCGAGGCCTCTGCCCAAACACCCCCCTCACTCCCACCCTAGAGCCAGTCAGGGAGCAGGATGGAGAGGG